TGCCTAGATTCAATTCCTGGTTTGGCCATTGACTGGAAGACCTTGTGTAAGTCCCTTAATCTCTTTGGGGCTCCACTTCCTCATCTGTGAAATGAGATAATACTCACGTTGTATGATTATTTTGAGGCTTAAATGAGTTAATACATGTAGAGTACTTAGAACAAAACCTGGTACATACTAAATACTGTTGAAATGTATCATAGAAACCAATAAAATCCAGTAAAATCTATCAGTAGTAACTCTGCCATAGAACAGAAAAATTTTCTCTTGAATCTTGACCTCAAAACCCTCATGACCATGAAACCATAAAAGCTAAATAAGCATTTTCTTTAAGAGATCATCAAACCATTCTTTTTATTTGAAGGGGGAAGGGAGGAATGTACAGTTTTTCTTTTCCCATTTCTTCATATGATTTTAAGAAGTAACTATTAAATCACTAAGAGAGGTCTGAAATATGTAACTTTAGTAAAAAGTAGTCATAACTCCTACCCCTGCTCTTAACCCAGCCCCAAGGATTCTGGAACTTACTAATATCTACGCTCAACCAACCCTTCTAAATAAAAGAAAAAACATACTAAATGTTAGTCAAGAGCTGTGCCCCAAGATAACAATCAAATTGAACAATTTAAGTGGCACGCCATGCCATGCCATGCCATGCCATGGAGAATAAATACACAACTGAAGATTAAAGGAAGACCTTTTTGTTAATCCCTGTGTGGTATGATCTACTGCTTGGTTTCGGGTCTTACGGAATAAATCTACTTCAGCAAATAAGTTTTTGAAGACTCAAAAGAAGTAATTGATTTTGAGGGTTACCAGGGAGTAGAATGTGAATGAACTTGAATTTCTATTCAAAATGAATAAAGCCCCAGAACAAAGTCTGACTTAGTCCACTGTTATATTTGCTTAAGGGTGAAAGGTTTGCCTCTAATAGTGTGGAGAGACCATTGAGAGCTAATGAAAGAGCCCCCAGCAGTGCCTGGTATATTACCATGTGACAGAAGTGCCACCACTGGATCCAGGAGATCTCTGACTTTCACCAGAAGCTCCACGAGAGAGCTTAAATTAAAGTTGCAGATTGAACATGCCAAATGTGAAAATTTAAGATCCGAAATGCCCTAAATCTGAAACTTTTTGAATACCAACCTGATGCTTAAAGAAATGCTCATTGGAGCATTTCAGATTTTGGGTGTTCGGTTTAGGGATGCTCAAACCATAAGTATAATGTGAATATTCAAAAAAAAAAAAAAAAAAACCCAAACACTTCTTGTCCCAAGCATTTTTGATAAGGGCTACTCAACATATGCCATATACTGTGTAGCTTTTTCTTCCATGGTGGTGGCACACTTTTGGCTCTTACACCAACTTACATTGCTTCTTACTAAGATGCCCCTAAAGACTCCAAAAGAGAGGCAGCCATTTTGTTTACCCATTAGGGTAGTCCAAAGTCCTTGACACTCTGGGCTCACCATTCTGAGCCTGGGCGGGTCGACAAGGGTGGGGCCCCAAGGCCTGGGTAGTGCTAGCATTATTGCTGTTTTTTCTAGGGGGATGAGGCTTTGCAGGGGAGACCTGTTTCTTTAGGTCTTGTGACTGTTTTAAAACTCTTCCCTTTATATTAGGGCCTCATCCCACTAAAACAGATTTGCTTTCCAGATTCTGAATTCCCTTCATGTGAAATAGTGCATGGTGGTCTGACTAGTGGTTATGAGACAAAAGACAGAGTTTTTTCTAACTTTAATATTTTATGTGTCTTTTCTCTTTCCATTTTTCTTATAACTTCCTCATCTCTCTTTTCAGTTCTGGTATTATTTAGTGTTTCTGTAGGATGTTACAGCTGAGTTCCCTGTGACCATTTTTAGTAGTTACACAACAAATCATGTACAGAGCATGAGCCAGCACTTAGCCAAATAATGAAACGGAAGAACTCTGCCAAACTCAGCATCATAATTTCCCTTAATACAACTCTACTGTATCATTTAGTTTGGTCTCTTTTTAAAACTTGAGCCTCCATCAGTCTATTTTAGGGAAGGGTACTACAAGGTCTATTGCATAAATGATTTGACTTGCAATTGAACTAAGAATACAATGAACCATTTCTTAGAGTTATTTTTTAGAAGAATGAGAAAGGGCTTATTTGAAAAAAAAAAAGTGTTTTCTGAATATAACTATCTTGGGTCTAAAATTTTTGCTCATTTCCTAAAGTCCTTTACCACTTTGGAACTGCTTTGTATTTTGTAGAACAGGTTTTGTATTCTAATATAGAAATTCTTAACTTGCCTTGCTACCTAAATTCAAATGCATTCCAGAATAATCGCTGGCACATAGTAGGTGTTCAGTAACTATTTGTTGACCCCATAGCTTTCTACATTTCTTCTTACTAGGGCATTGTCTCCTGTTAAGCATAATATTCAACAAATGTCACGTGCTATTCAGTGATTTTTCATTTCGTAGCCACTTGCATAACTTTTACCTCTTTAAAATCTAGCCATTTTGCAGTCTCATCAATGTGGAACCCAACTAAAACTAAAGTAGAAAATAACCAGTGCCTAAGATTACAGTTTCCTGTCATCTGGCAGGGAAACATGATACATCTGGGAAATCTTTTCATCACAAATGCTTGATAAGGTACAGTACTGGAATCCAATGTTGTGAGGTGACTGTCAGCAAGTTGCTTAATCTCTTTGGCTTTGGCTTTGGTTTTCTTATTTATCAAATGTGAGAGCAACACTCAGTGATCCTATGGTCCCTTCCAACTCTAAGACTTCTGTGAGCCTATGCTTCTCAAGCCACCTCTCCCCTCCAGTCCTGTTTGCTCCTTTATAAAAGGAGAGGGAGACATGTAGGGAAGTCTTAACAATCTGTGACTTTAAAGGAATGAACTTTTAGCTGTCCAGCAAATCTGGCTATCCAGAAAAGGCCATTCCTCCAGGGTATATTGGTTAGCCAAAATTTTACTGTACATTAATACATAGTTAGGACTAATTTAGTGCCTAGGAAAACATTTGGGAATGGTTAAAACTGTGGAAAAATCTTAATTCTTGGTAGGGAATGTTGACTTTAGTGTATACAATTACCATTTTATTGTTAACACGTATTCCCCCCTTTTAGGCTAGAGCCTTGTTTAGGATGAGGGGAATGGATGTGCGCACGCATCACGTAGGAGCCTGATTGTTTATTTTTTCTCCTGACACTACTAATCCCCTGTTCCTGTTCCTAAGGGTACTGCTGATAAGTGATATCCAAAGTAACACTCCAGAGCAGGTGAAGTGCATTGCCGGGCTGCCCTGCATCCCAGCATCTGTTCCCTGTTGTGGTATCTGCCTCCAAAAGTCTATGTTTGCAGAACTGGTGGGTACCTATACAGAAGAATGCACTAATCCTCTGATATTGACTCCAAAAGAGGAGGGTGGGGCAGAAAGAATGAGGAGACAGGAACTTTTAATTAGCTGCTAGAATGCTATGCCTAGCCCCAATCCTTTCTAAGCATTGAAGAAAACAAGTGACTGGATGGAATCAGCTCTTCTATACCCCAAATAATTTCACCTTATAAAACTAGATGAAATGAAGTCCCATTTCTCTGGAGAGGACGGCCAGCCCAATCTGACTTGAGTAATGTTTCCGTCATTCTTCCTTTCCTTCCTCACGAACTTCCAGTCGTAGCCCCATGTGTACTGCCATATGGTGTCCCAATTTGTTTCCTCCCTCCCTCCCTTCATCCCCTCCCTCCCTTCATCCCCTCCCTCCCTCCCTCCCTTCCTTCCTCCCTTCCTTCCTTCCTTCTTTCCTTCGTCTCACTCTGTCACACAGTCTGGAGTGCAGTGGTAAGATCTCGGCTCACTGCAGCCTCCATCTCCCAGCTTCAAGCAATTCTCCTGCCTCAGCCTTCTGAGTAGCTGGGACTACAGGCACACGCCACCATGCCCGGCTAATTTTTGTATTTTTAGTAGAGATGGGGGTTTCACCATACTGGCCAGGCTGGTCTCGAACTCCTGACCTCGCGATCCGCCAGCCTTGGCCTCCCAAAGTGCTGGGATTACAAGCGTGAGCCACCACACGCGGCAGCTGGTGTCCCAGTTTCTGCTTGATGTTTAAGCCCCTCTAAATTCTGGCCACACACATACTCCTGTGCACCTGACCTTATTTCCCACAATTTCCCAACCCCATTCTGAGATGCAGTGATATGTCCTGTACTCTCCTACAGGTTTTGTTCATTTCATTGAACTTACTTAGGATGCTCTCCCTTTGTTTGACCACTTAAGTCCAGCCCTTGTCTTGAAAATTTAACCAAAGCCCCACCTCTTTCATCAAGTGTTCCATGAACACTCTGTGCTTTAGTACTCCCAAGCCTTGGAAAGCCTTCACATACCCCCCAAGTTTAAGATTACTCATATTCTGCCCGGTAGAATGTGTTAACTTTGCCTTCTGCACAGCTCTTGGCACAGAACAGAAGACACCGTAGATATCCTTCTAAACCTTGATTTGGGGTTAGGGTTCAAAGGACAGCCTTGTAGTCAATGTGATTCAGAAGAAGATGTGCTTCTGTTCCAGTCTGGCAAAGACAAACACTGATGGTTGAGGCTATTAGCAGGGCGTGCATGGTGGGCACATGAAGGTAGTCTCCTCGACTGCATTTCATGGCTCACACTGGATAGTTATTTGTAAAAGGATTTTGAGATATTCGAGCAATTTATGTGTGTGAGAGAGAGACTCCAGGAGGGAAGGGGGTATGGGGGAGGAATGGGTGTTTACAGGGTAGGAGTTGGTGTGCCTTGTTTGTTTTGGGTCATGTGATGTTCATCTCCCTCCTCTGCCCTGTCCAAGCACGTATCTTTTATCTAATCTACGTCTTCAGGAGGCAGTCCAGGCTTACTAATTGTGATCAATTACAACTCATTCTTAAGTTAATGGCCAAGTCTTCAGTGTCAGTGTGATAGAAGCAATTTCTGTCTCTATTTTAGCCCCACCACTACTGTCTTTTTTTTCTTTTCACATATTAGGTAAACCCCACAGCCCAGTGTACCCATGCCCTGTTGAAGATGATCTACTGCTCCCACTGCCGGGGTCTCGTGACAGTGAAGCCATGTTACAACTACTGCTCAAACATCATGAGAGGCTGTTTGGCCAACCAAGGGGATCTCGATTTTGAATGGAACAATTTCATAGGTGAGCAAGTGATTAACATATTTGCGTTGCTAGAGATAGCTTAGCTTCCAGTCACAAGGAATGTTGTAATTGGCAGCTATGAAATTTGTTTGTTTTAGTGTTAGTTATTTAGTGTTTGTCAGAATCCTGACTATGTAGATCATACTCAACTACTTTGAGTATAGTAAAAACATTACTACAAGTGAATATTCCCTTGAACTAGTGGTGGCATTTCTGAAGGTAATAGGTACAGTGACTGCCAGGTTTTAATAACGAGAAAATGCTTTTTTCTCAGAGACAGAGTCTCTTTCTGTCACCTAGGCTGGAGTATAGCAGCACAGTCATAGCTGTGTGTAACCTGAAACTCCTGGGTTCAAGCGATCCTCCCACCCGCAGCCCCCCAAAAGCCCTGGGATTATAGGCATGAGCCACTCCCTGAGAAAGTGCCTTTTTGATATTTTCCCCCTAAAAGTCAGTTGTGTTTATGATTATAGGCTTGTATCCAAGTAAATGCTGGAGTACAGTCCTCATGGAGTTGTAAAAGTGGCTTTTAAAATGTTATATCTGTTACACTGCAACCAAATCTTCTGCAGACAGGCCAGATATGTATTTGTTATTTGGATCAGGTGAAATCTGATTGAGAAATTTAGGGATTCTGTTTCTGTACACGATTCAGCAATAGTAGTCTGCTCTGGTGAGAGTGGAAGGACTTTAGCCCTGAGAATGTAAGGGATACGTATTCCTGCATATATCTTCCACCTAGAAAACCATTCTCAGAGCCCAGACAGCAGTGTAAATGAAGTGGCCAATTGCTGAGAGGGTTAGTTATGATTTTGGGGAAAGGACAAATTAAGGAGAATTTAAATGTCCAGTTGTCAATTACCTTGATGCCTGAAACAACAGTGACCAGTGTTGAAGTTCATTATGCTGAGTATTAGTAGGACCGCACACACATACTAACAGCTCACAAAAGGAAACTCACATTTTTCCCCACCCCAGTCACCTTTGCATAATTGCCAAATTTGAGTGTCTTTATAAGCACCTGTTTTTCACTTATTTGTCCAAATCATGGGAACATGCATGCAGTTTGCTAGCTTGTTTTTCTGGGGGGAAGTGAGGGGTGTTAAGGTTGGGGAATGCTTTTTAGTCTGTGTGAGAGCTAATTACCATATTAACTCCGTTTGAAAGTGCATCAATAAATTGGCTCCAACAGATTCTTAAGAACACTGACACAGGGGGAAAAAAAAAGATGTGAATATTAAGCACTTCAGCACAATTGTAGCCTAAATAGCTCAAAGCTAGAAGACCTGAAAAAATCTTCTACACACAGAAAAGCAGAATCTCATGAAAGGGAAGGCATAAGACCAGCAAAGACACACAGGCCAAATGGCACATCATGCCCAGAATGAAGCCATGGGAGAAATTGTTGATTCAAAGTATTTCTCATGAAAGTAAAAACCCATAGCATTTCCAGATCTAAAGTCGCTATTTTTGTTTTTTTCTCTCTCTCTTTTATCCCATTCTCATCCCCACATCCAAATGTCAAGTTTGCAGTTCTCTTTTGCTAAATTGAATTTTTAAAGAAAGTTCGTGATCCTCTTCAATTTCCCCTATAATTCACTGTTTCTCCAGGCAAGGTAGTAGAATTTGCCATATGGTACAAAAAAATGTATGGTGACAGTGATCAAATTTTGCTGACTTTTCTACACACACATTGGGAATAGAACGCAGAAGGGCATGGCCCTGCCACTATTTTGATACTCTTAACATGTCTAGCAGCAGCTATAACTAAACTCATATCCTTATATTAAAATACAAATGCTCCTACGTATTTTTCCTAGAGTTTACAGGTCCATATAAAATCAAAACCACACTCTGGCTTTCTTAATTGATGTTTTAAATCAGTTACTCTGAAACAAAGAGGACTTAAGTTGCTGCTGTTCTTGTTGTGCATTTTTAAAATTACATTTGTTGTCTTTGAAGAAACAAAATTAAACCCAAGTAGAAGTTGATAGGATTTCTGAATCGATTTTTCCCTAGTTATTTTAAGTGATAACTTTTTGGAGGGATGAGGTATATAGTTGTATCTAAACTTTGTTTTTAATGGGTATACTATTCTTTATTTCTAATAAGCAGATATAAAAGACCAGGAGTAATAGACATTGTTAATCTCCAGTGCTTTTTCATGAATTTTTCACAAGGGTTTAATTAATCTGCTTTGTAGTTGTAGAATTCAGTCCCAATTTACATGCCTCTGCTGTAAATTCTTTTTTTATTTCTTGTCTCTCTCCTTTTTTTTCTCTTTGCAAGGAATTTTTCTTTCCCCTTTAAATGACTGCAGCTAATGAATGGTCAAGGGCTTTTTCCCCCTTCTTTAAATCAGATCTTGGGGTTAAGTCGGGAAACTGCCTTTTGTTCTTCCAGTCAGGTCGTGAGGCTGAAGATGTGGGTTTCTGATTATTGGCAGCACAATGCAAAAGGAATCGCTTTCCCTAGTGAGAAGGGGATGCTTTGTTGCTGAGGGTGTGGGGGTAGACTCAGTGCCAGTGTCTTGAGCACTGAAATCATGCAGTTGGACTAGACCCTTTAAGAGACTAAGGATGAACCGGTTTTCCAAATCTGTCTTCTTGTTGCCATGCTCTTCCTCTCCTCTCTTAACTGCATCTGCAACTAGCCATGAATTGAGACCCTTTAGTAAATGTTGAAGTCTTGTCAACCTTTTATCAGGATGGATCCAAATAGTTAAAACACCTTGGAATTTGGTTTTATAAGAGGCTGGTTTATATGAAACCTTCACTTGGAAAAACAAACCAAATATCTGCCTTGCCCCTACCAACAAAAGTCAGTTTCTGGAGAATCATAAATTATGCTAAAGTCCACCTTGTTCTCCATCACATACTGTAGCTGTGTTAACACTCATTTGACTCAGGGCCAACCCCATTAATGTCGCATGTTGCTGCCAGTGGGAATTTAGTATGGGGATTGCTGGCAGGGGCACCAGCCAGGTCCTGGCAGGAGCCAGTCGGATATCCCACAAACAAGGGCCCCGTGGCTCGTATCAGCCAGAAGAAAACCCAAACTCCAAACCAGTCATCTTTGGCTTTCTCTTGAGGCTTCTTATCAGGGCTGGCTGCTGTTACAGAAGAGCCGATTGATAGCCAATCATGACTTCCTCCAGGGTTAGAGGCAGCTTTGGCTCCCGGGCTGCAGACTGCAGGCAGAGTGCACTTCAGTTGCATTCTTCAGCTGCGCAGCATGCAACGCCATGGCACCGGCCCCAACAAAGGCCCAGCTTCCCCCTCCATTCCCAGGCCCTTGTGTATAGCCGGCTTGCTCAGAGTTTACAAAGACGCCAAAGAGCCAGAAGAATTGGGGTTTATGTTTCCTTTCAGTCTTTCACAAACACATTAGTGATCTGGCCATTCCTCGCCGCTAGGGGAATAAGGAGATACAAAATGCACTGGGTGTTGTTGTTGTTGTTGTTGTTGATGTTGTTGTTTAAACGTATACATTTTAGATGTTTATTATCTGTCTATTCATAATCTTTTTATTGGGAGCAGGTGATTTCTTCTCAGCTTATGAAGGAATGTGCTTTCTGTACATGGCAGCCCTGATGATTTGACAATGATGAACACATTTAAGTTGTGCTCCACTTGTTTACAAAAGTCTCCTTTTGCTAGCACATCAAAAGCATTTTTTTCTCTCCTCTAGTACAATGGTATATTCATGCTTTCAGCCCTTACTTAGAGTTAGAAGCATCACTTGATTGGCGCTTACCACAATGCATTCTGAAACTTCATTTGTTATTACTGTTTTAAAAATTGCATTTCACGGAAATCTATTTGTGGTTTGTGACATCGGAATTGTAGTTTAGAGAAATGACCCCATGCATTCAAATGTTGTGTAGCATTTGTTCTAGGTTGAAGGTGAAAGGTTGATGACCAGATTTGGTTTCATTGATATGCTGATGCCTATGCTCCTTTCCACTAGAAAGCTTAGGTAGAAGCTCAGCTGGGGGCTGCAGTTGTCAGCGGTGTTCTTTGGGAAGGGCACAATCTTCCGGAAACTAGCCCTTCTTTCTAGTAACCATCCTTGCACTACCTGAAGGTGATAGATAATGTTGGTCTAACTCCTTTCTTGCCATACACTAAGCACTAGAGTGTAAAGCGGGGATAAACAAGTTTAAAAGTTCACTGTTTGTCATTAATGAAGCATCCTTTTTGTCATTTGGGGTTTTCATTTCCAAGTTCTTCTAATTTTGTAAAACAGGTAGCAGGCAAAAATACTAAGCCTCATACTCCTTAGAAACATGTATGGCAAGAAAACAAAGACAATGTATTTTATTGAAGCGATTCAGTGCTTACTGGAAAATGCTAGACTACTCCAGAGTCTAAAGCAGGATAATCGGTGAAGATATATACTGTGAGCCCACTAATTTTGTATACTGTGTCTTGTGTCATCTTTTCACTTTGGAAAAAAAAAAGAGGTACATGCTTTAAGATCAATTGAGGCCATTGTATTTGCAATGAGAAGTTTTTCTTAATACAAAAATTGGATTATTCAAAGTTTTATTATTTGAAAAGTCATTAGAATTCCTAGGAATCCTTTCATTTGTATTTTCCAACGGTGCACTCAAGGATCTGAGGGGTTTTGTTTTTAAAAATGAAAGAAAAGAATTAATATGCCAGCATCTTAACTGATTTATGTTTTTGACTCTTATAAATGGAATGTGAAACGAAAAGATCCTAGGGAAGTCTCTGGGAGAACTGGCATGTTATTTTGCCTCCAGCCTTAGGTTTGTCTTCTGGGAGCTAACTAAGCCTTACAGTGACAGTGGCTGACACACGAATAATCAGTATTGAGGAAAGTTCCTGATTTGATTTCCTTGCTGTAGAACTAAGCCTTCATCTGGCCATTTCACACTTCAGAGAGCTAGTGTTACGTAGTGACTAAATGCAGTTTGGTATAAGGGAAATAGATATAAAAACATAAAAACAAGAATTCATTATGATCCATGTCTTACTTCCCCCGCCCCCATGCAGGAAACAGGAAAAAAAAATTAGATTGATTTACCCAAGGCCAAACTAATGATTGACTTTTTATGCTGTGTTGTTCTTCCCCAAACCTCATATTAGATGCTATGCTGATGGTGGCAGAAAGGCTAGAGGGTCCTTTCAACATTGAATCGGTCATGGATCCCATCGATGTGAAGATTTCTGATGCTATTATGAACATGCAGGATAATAGTGTTCAAGTGTCTCAGAAGGTAACAAAGGCAAGATGCTGGAAAGGGGAGCTGGGGAACCACCTCCCCCCTGCCCCACCCCGTGTTGGCATGGGACTTCCCTAACATGACTACACTTACTCCAATGCAGGTTTTCCAGGGATGTGGACCCCCCAAGCCCCTCCCAGCTGGACGAATTTCTCGTTCCATCTCTGAAAGTGCCTTCAGTGCTCGCTTCAGACCACATCACCCCGAGGAACGCCCAACCACAGCAGCTGGCACTAGTTTGGACCGACTGGTGAGCATTTTGGCAGGAAGGGCCGTGTTTAATGACAGTGAACTGAAAACTCTTGCTCAGAATGAATTTTTAGCTGGAAGGCTGACAAGTGTGGGTCTTTCGGGTGTCACTTTTCAAGCAAATAGGATGTGGATGTCAGTCAATCTGCCTGTCCCATTTTCTAGCTCAGAAAGTTCCTGGGTAGTCAAGGAGTTATGATGCAATAAGTCTTGTCTCAAAACTTCTCTTTAGATTCACCATGCATTTACTGAACATCTAGTATGTGTCCATCACTGTGCTAGGCACAGAGAAGCTCAGAGAAATAAGGCAAATCCTTGTTCTCAAAAGGTACCAACAAGGAGGCAAAGAGGGAGAAGTAGATGTTCCAGGCTTATTAACATAAAATGATGTTTAGTAAACGCTGAGATGGGAGAAGAGTGAATAACTGTAGGCAAATTGCTTTATCCACAGTAATATGCAACAAAAATGTAAGAAAGTATTCCTACAGTAGTAGGAATATAGAAGAGGGAGTCTGCGGAGATAGGGATGGAGAGAAAGAGCAATAGCAGCTATGTTTCACAGAGTGCATAATATATGCGCTTGATCCTGACTCTAAAAGCCTTAGGAGAAGAGATTGCGTATTATCTTTGTGCCTACAGCATGGAACCTGGTAGGCCTCAGATGGTACTTACAATGAGGTGCACGAGGGATCTAGGCCACTCCTTTGGAACTTGCATTTCAACTATTCGAGTGGTTTTGTACTTCTAAGATACAAATTGGAGTTGCATCTTCCTCTTCTAACTAAAGTTGAAAATGAATTGCATATCACTCTGGAGATACTTTGGAAATGGCCAGAAGGCACATTTGTAGGTAGTTTTGTCTTGTCTTACAATGATCCTTTTTTTGTTGTTTCATAATTAGGTTACTGATGTCAAGGAGAAACTGAAACAGGCCAAGAAATTCTGGTCCTCCCTTCCGAGCAACGTTTGCAATGATGAGAGGATGGCTGCAGGAAACGGCAATGAGGATGACTGCTGGAATGGGAAAGGCAAAAGCAGGTTAGTGTCTGTTGAATGAATTTGAAGTCTGTCCCTTCCTAGATGCCTGGGTGACCTTCAGAGAGGGTTCTCGCAATTGTCAACCGAGGCATCAGGAAGCAATTCACAGTAGGTAGCAACAACATGGAAGGCTTCTAGGCATTGTTAGGAACAGGCTTTGCACTGGGAGTGTTGAGAAGGCACCCAGTTACTTACAAAGAGTGCTGAGTCAAAAGTTTGACAGTAGTTATAGTCTCGTATTAGGGCTGTTCCAATAGTGTCATTATTTTAAAAATATTTAATGCCCGTTGCTCTTTGCCCAATGGCCTAGCCTAATAAATAACCAGTTCTCAAAGGTTCTGTTCTCTGACTTGATGCCCTGTGTCCCTCCCTTAGACACTCAATAAGTTAGAGAAGTACCCATACTTTTGTTTGTTTGTTTGTTTGAGATGGAGTCTCGCTCTTTTGCCCAGACTGGAGTGTAGTGGCACAATCTTGGCTCACTGCAACCTCCACCTCCCGGGTTCAAGCAGTTCTCCTGCCTCAGCCTCCTGAGTAGCTAGGACTACAGGTGCCTGCCACCATGCCCGGCTAATTTTTTTTTTTTTTTGCATTTTTAGTAGAGACGGGTTTTCACCATGTTAGCCAGGATGGTCTTGATCTTCTGACCTTGTGATTCGCCCTCCTCAGCCTCCCAAAGTGCTGGGATTACAGGTGTGAGCCACCACGCCCAGCCAGTACCCATACTTCTTTACTTCAACCCACCAACCTCCTCAAGAGGGATAGCTTCCTTCCTTCCTTCCTTCCATCCTTCCTTCCACAGAGTATCACTGTCAACCTGCTAGAATGCAGTAGCAAAATCTCGGCTCTCTGCAACCTCACTGCAATCTCAGCTGCTGGAAAGCAGTGGTGCAATCTCAGCTCACTGCAACCTTTGCCTCCTGGGTTCAAGTTAATTTTCTGTGTCAGCCTCCTGAGTATCTGGGATTACAGGCACACACCACCACATGCAGCTCATTTTTATATTTTCAGTAGAGACAGGGTTTCGCTATGTTGGCAGGGTTGGTCTTGAATGCCCGACCTCAAGTGATCCACCCACCTCAGCCTCCAGAAGTGCTGGGATAGCTTTCAAGAAGGTTTCCATCAAATTGGAGAAATGAGGAATCCACAGGAACAAGAAAGAGTAGAGTTCATTAGGAATTGAAGAACTTCCATCTAATTTTGCTTAGTGGAAGTACTATAATCTAGCAGAAATATTTGATAATCTCTTGTATAATCTTGATAATCTTCAAGCCTGTAATCCCAGCACTTCGGGAGGCAGACAGATAAAATCTTTTTGCTTTACAAATCTTCTTACTGGGGTCATTTTACGTTCCAGGTACCTGTTTGCAGTGACAGGAAATGGATTAGCCAACCAGGGCAACAACCCAGAGGTCCAGGTTGACACCAGCAAACCAGACATACTGATCCTTCGTCAAATCATGGCTCTTCGAGTGATGACCAGCAAGATGAAGAATGCATACAATGGGAATGACGTGGACTTCTTTGATAACAGTAAGCATTTGTGGTTTGAAAGAACAAATTGCTCTTGTATGCCTTCTGATGAGAACAAGTGGAATGAAATTTCTATTCCTTTTTTTTTAAACTAGGTGATGAAAGTAGTGGAGAAGGAAGTGGAAGTGGCTGTGAGTATCAGCAGTGCCCTTCAGAGTTTGACTATAATGCCACTGACCACGCTGGGAAGAGTGCCAATGAGAAAGCCGACAGTGCAGGTGTCCGTCCTGGAGCACAGGCCTACCTCCTCACTGCCTTCTGCATCTTGTTCCTGGTTATGCAGAGAGAGTGGAGATAATTCTCAAACTCTGAGAAAAAGTGTTCATCATCAAAAAGTTAAAAGGCACCAGTTATCACTTTTCTACCATCCTAGTGACTTTGCTTTTTAAATGAATGGACAACAATGTACAGTTTTTACTATGTGGCCACTGGTTTAAGAAATGCTGACTTTGTTTTTTCATTCAGTTTTGGGAGGAAAAGGGACTGTGCATTGAGTTGGTTCCTGCTCCCCCAAACCATGTTAAATGTGGCTAACAGTGTAGGTACAAGAACTATAGTTAGTTGTGCATTTGTGATTTTATCACTCTATTATTTGTTTGTATGTTTTTTTCTCATTTCGTTTGTGGGTTTTTTTTTCCAACTATGATCTCACCTTGTTTCTTACAAGCAAACCAGGGTTCCTTCTTGGCATGTAACATGTACGTATTTCTGAAATATTAAATAGCTGTACAGAAGCAGGTTTTATTTATCATGTTATTAAAAGAAAAAGCCCAACAAGCAGTAAAATTTCCATTTCTCCCTGTTATTTTAGTTGCCTTATCTGGAGAGACGTGGAGGTGATTTTCTTTTTTTTAATTATTATTAAGTTAGGACAGAATGTGAGGACACGAGCAGGCTTCTGAGCCACTTATCAGATTGTATTCAAAGCATCAATCCAAGAAGAAGGTTATACGTACTTCATTTATAGGTGGTAATTGGAAGAGACTGCAGACTACTGCTTTGAATGAGTTGAATTACATAAGCTAAGATCACTGTAGGTCCATTTCTTGAACCCACTTATATATAAACTGTAACCCATTTAGAAAAAGATTCTGGATATCCTCCCCCTTGAAGGATAGAAGGCGTTCAGGATGTCCCAGTTATCACATGTTCACACTTGGGTTTGGGGGTGTTTTTTAAAAACCAGGCAGGTTAGCTAGCCCACCGTGTGCTAGTTTTCATGTTCACACTGACCCTATTTGAATTAATATCCCAATGGCAGCAATAAGTGACCAACAATCTCACTTGATCCCCCTTGTTAGAGTGGTCCAGATTTCAAACCCAACTATGTACAGGGAGCTGTCTGGGAGCTAGCCAGAACTGGGGTACAGCCTGGGCTCAGGGAATAGCTGTCAACACTCGGGCAAAGTTTTTGTCTGTGCATGTGTATCTCCATTTGTTTTGGGATACCAGTTTTTGTTTTAAGAGAGTATAAGGTTTTTCATTTGAGTCTTTTTCTTACCCGGCCCCCTCTTAACAGTAAAACAAAGGACTTGCCATGGTTCACAGCAATGTGCTGCGATCCAAGATATCAGCCAAGGAGCCCACTTAGGGGAGAACTAGGTGTCCAGATTTTTGTACGTGTTGTTTTTCTTCGGGGGTGGGGCGGGGTGGGAGTAGGTAGAGCTGAGAAGACTACATCTTAGCAGTGACCTTTAGCCATGTGGGTGAAGTGGCAAAGGCCATGGCCATGTCTGTTGTCCCAGGCCAAAGACTAACAACTATCTTGGCCCCTTGGGAATCCCTTCCTTGTGTCCTTACCAAATGATAGCTCATAAAACTCTGATAATGTAACAAATCACTTTCAAAGGAGTTCCCAGAAGTCTTCAGAAAGACTAAAATTCTGTAAGTCTCTTCCTGCTTTAGACAGCCATTAAGATCCCAACTAATTTTACTGAACCTAAAACCCACAAAGAGGTTGTTTGTGTTATTGTTCAATCTTCAGTTGTAAGAGTAATTCTCTATTTTTATATTGAAACATAATTACTTGATAGCTCAGGGTCTACATTTCATTCAACTTTTTACACCAAATTCTGCAGAGTGGTCAAAATGGAATATTGGGGGCTGTTGTAAACAGAGGCTTAATTTTATTAGAAGTAGTCAGTTATTTATTAAAGCATGATGTTAATAAAATAGGCATATTCTGGCTGGTGTGTATAAGTGTTTTTTTTTTTAAACAAATCACAGAAGACATAAAATTGAAAAGGCACTCCATTTATATATGAGGGAAAATAGATTGTAAATAGCTAAGGGGCCTTGTGAGAACTTGGAAAATGTGCTGATACTTAGTAACTACCTCAGTTGTGAGGAATTTCCTTTTTAGCTTAGACTGCTATTACTTTTACTTGGTAGAAATGAATCTGGTCTCCAAAATATGGCTCAGACAGTTATCCCCATAGACCTTGTTAGATTGTTTTTAATTTAAAACCTTGAACTGTGCCCAGTTGTTTTCTTCCAGTCAAGTTCTCTAAACCAATAACGTTTTCCGAATTAAATATTCTTGAAGGTTCTTCTGGACTCTTACTGATTTGTTTTCTTTCTTTGCATTTTTTCCTGTTACTCTTTTATTATTTAAATTGTCTCTTGTTTTTGAACTTCAACTATGAAATAAACAAATCATAGATTTTTCCATTCAGGTCTGACTGGATAACTGTTGGCTTCTAACCAGCTGGCAAGCTCACCCCCACTCCCCAAAAAAGAAGAAAGGCAAGTTGAATATTTTAAAACCTTAAGAGTTCTGGAGTATGAGGTAGAATAAAAGCCTTGTTAGGAGAAGACCTGACTTTTCCAAAGTTAACAGCATGTGAAGGGCTTGTGTTTTACAAAGTCATTTATAAATTATTTTTCTTTAAAACACGTCACCTACTCTGTACCTTAAAGAAACATTTTACAACTCTTAGGTTTATATTTTATTTCAAAAATCGTAACTAGCACCTGTTATTTTTATTAAAAGACACTGTGAAGAATTTACATAAATTTCTAAAGTTTAGTTACTGAGTGTTCAAAACCTAACAGTTCACATGAAGTGAAAATTGTCATTTGTGATTACAGAATCAAAATAAAAATAGGTGTGAATGGTGCTACACAAATTTCTGCTTCCCCTTTGTTAGCAGAATATGTCTATTTACATAGCTAAAGGATAGTAAGTTATTAGGTTACTGCAAAAGTAATTGCAGTTTTTGCCATTACTTTCAATGGCAAAATACAGTTATCTACTAGAGGAGGGTGTGTGTGTGTGTGTGTGTGTGTGTGTGTGTGTGTGTGTGTGCGTGTGCGTGCACGCACGCGCACGCACGCACATGTAATGTCACTGCTAAGCCAAATGTAACTTTCTACCTTTTTTGAAACAATGACAAAGTACTCACAAAATTCTTCTGACTTTGAACTTCATGGGGAAAAATATAACTGCATGCCATGATACACTTCACAAACTCAGTTTCTACTTTTTAACTTCTAAAATTCTTCTAAAATTCCTTTTTATGTATGTGAAAAATACCTGAGAGATGACATTTGGTAACAGGAATTCTATTCCATCAATGAGCCAAATGCCAAATAATATTTACTGTGTACATAGTTTTAAATTAGGTAATATATTGGCAGGGTTTAAAAAACAGAACATATATCAAGAGACTGAGTGAATTTTCCTCCCATTCCTGCTTCCATCTGCCAAGTTGTCCCCACACCCTAAGTAAGCTCTTACTAGTTACTTATGTATGTCTTCTTCCAAAGTTTATTTATGCATATACAAGCAAATATGAATAGAAATTTACTCCTTTTTGTCATATAAAAGGTAGAGTTTTTTTGTTTTTTTGTGGGTTTTTTGTTTTTTGTTTTTTGTTTTTTTTTTTGAGATGGAGACTCCCTGTGTCCCCGAGGCTGGAGTACAGTGGCGCAATCTCAGCTCACTGCAACCTCCACCTTCCGGCTCAAGCAATCGTCCCATCTCAGCCTCATGAATAGCTGGGATTACAGGTGTGTGCCACCACATCCAGCTAATTTTGTATTTTTAGTAGAGACAGGATTTCACCATGTTGGCCAGGCTGGTCTCGAACTCCTGGGCTCAAGTGATACTCCCACCTCGGTCTCCCAAAATGCTGGAATTGCAGGCATGAGCCACTGCATCCATCAAAAAGGTAGTATTTTATGCTTATAATGTCCTATTTCTTTAGGTTAATGTTTTGAATATTGAGAATAGGAGACTCTGAGGATACAGCTCTGTAATTAAGTTTAGGATTCCTATTCTAAAGGCATGGCTTCTCAGTAGTAGCACATTTTGTGTTTTACTGCATTTTGGCCCAGATTAATTTAAGTAGTTTTACAAGAAACAAGCATTGAATAGAGTGAGGAATAGTTTGGCATTATAGTACTATAACCCCAGAGTGTACAATTTGAATGCTCTCTGTTTTTGTTAAGGTTTACTTTTGGTAGTTTGTTTTCATATCATCGCCAGTGCAGAAGACATTAGCCAAAATAGTTTGGAAGATCCTCTCAGAATACAGCATGTTAGTACCACAGTTCATGCTTCGAAATGCTTCACAGGACCTGCTGTGACCTGGAATTTACTCATATTCTATTAGAATAAAGTATTCTCTTTTTTTGAGACAGGGTATTACTCTGTCACCCAGGCTGGAGTGCAGTGGCACCATCAGAGCTCACTGCAACCTTGGACTTCTGTACTTGAGTGATCCTCCCACCTCAGGCTCCTAAGTACCTGGGACTACAGGCATATGCCACCATACCCAGCTTTTTTTTTTTTTTTGTAAAGACAGGGTATCGCCATGTTGCTCAAGCTGGCCTTCAATTTCTGGCTTCAAGCAGTTCTCCTGCCTTGGCCTCCCATGGTGCTGGGATTACAGGCATGAGCCACCACACTGGCCTAAAAGTACTTTTAATGCTTTCAAAAGCCCAGATGCCTTGCAGCAGCATCAGCCACCACACAGAATGGAGATGAGGGTACTAGGAAAATGTGTAACTAGACCCTAGGTTACTGCGTCCAATGGTTCAGTCATTAGAATATGCAAATAAATTTTTCCAACTTCAGTTTTCTTGTAAAGTTGAATTTTTATGAATCAGTGTTTGAGAGACTTCTGAGTTCAGTAAAATCTAAAGAAATCAATTCCTCAGCATGAGCGTCCACATGTGCAATTAAATGTACATTCTGCTCTACTTTTGACATTTCTTAAATGTTAGGAATTCTGGAAAAAAAGCACAGGGTTGTTGGAAGACAAAGATCTTCACGCATCAATCCTACTAGGTAAAAGCTGATGAAAGATAACGAGTGTGTTTAAAGAGTAAAGATAAAGGTATATGTGTGATGACCCCAGGAGGCTTTTATGATCCTGTTCTCTGGTCTTTGAGGAAGCCTTTGGCAGCAACTTTGTTGCCACTCCATGTTATTCTTAATTCCTGTGTTTCTTGCATAGTAGGATTAGAAGACGTGTGTGTGTGTGTGTGTGTGTGTGTGTGTGTGTGTGTGTGTGTGTGTGTACGTGTACACAGACCTACCCACAGAGAGATTTATTGAGTGATTGTGTATTTTCAAACACTAAATACCAGGTAGATCTTACCCTGTCACTTATGGGCTGCCTTCCCATGGCTGTCAGTGGGGTGTGCTTGGGGAATGTAGACTCATTTTAATAACAGCCTAAGGGAAACATAATTAAGAAGGTAAGTCTCCTGCCAAGAAAAAGAAAATACACATATATAAAATGCATACCAGAGACCAAATAGAATTTCTTAGATTTACCACTGCCTGTGTGTGCTTTTCTGCATCACCACAGATAACCTAAAGCTGACTGTAACCTGCTGTTCATAGTGACTCACTGCACAGAGCATTTTGGTGCCAGGTTGGCCAAAAAGAAAGAATCACAGCCAGTGGGTGGTTTTCTGAACACACCCATTAGGATCTCTTGGTCCTTTTTCAGTGCATTTGTCTTTAAAGGTCTTTACTGTCCCCACCGGCACCTTTCTTTTAAAATGTAATGACAAACGGTTTTTACTCTGCTGTTTCAGTTCAGAACACTTTGCAACAGGATCTGGTAGCGGTAATGAACATTTAGACATTTATTATTTAAAAAGAAACTAGTTATTTGCTGTTTATTTACTTGTAACTTCCTGACTGAGAAGTGAGGCATGGGCTGGGCCTGGTGGCTCACACGTGTAATACCAACATTTTGGGAGGCTGAGGCAGGCAGATTACTTGAGGTCAGGAGTTC